AAATTGGTTGAATGTATGTTACAGCAACGGTTAAATTAATTATTAATTTTAGTTATTTAGAAGGATATTACAAATAACATAAAAACAGAATCAGTGTTAGATACCTATGTACAGCACAATAAAAAAAGGAAAATAGTACACAATATAAAATGTAGGTACTATGTTATTTGTAGCTTTTAAAGTATTATATTATTATAATAATAATTAGATTATTAACTTTGTCAGTGTAATAACATATGAGCTATAATGTTAAACTCGTGTTACAAAAACGTGTTATTTAGGTCAATAGTTGCGCCAATGGGTAAAAACTCAAATGTAGTGAAACATCTATGGATAATTAATATGAACACTCAGATAGGTACATTAAAAACAATTCTTCTACGAACCTATAATTAAACATTAAAGTAAAAACTAAAAAAATACAAGTTTTACTTACGTTAACAAATTAACATGCTGAACCAAACAGCCAAGCCAACGGCCAGCCATCGACCAGTAGCGGCAAACGTAAAATGAGTAACCATTTACCGTTAATTAATAATTAACGGTCATTCAATAATTTCGGCCGACGGATGAATTACGGATAAATAATGTATCTGGTCTTGAACGACTTGAACCAGGGTGAGAAATTCATATACTCAAAAATCGTACTGAAATATTTACAAGGCCTGATGGTTGGTATTAATTTGTATTTTTTTATTTGAGGTTAGAGTTCGAACTCTTGATTAAGATTATCAGCTATAATTTCTTATCAAGGGGTACAACTCTTATCACAGGGGTCTAACTGCACCCATCCCGCCCCGGGCACACACCGATTTTGGTAAACGTAAATTGAGTTGGCGGACATTTGTCCGCCCCGCCACCTCATACACACACACACACACACACACAACCACGCTACCACCAACAACGTTCGGCATTACGGACGGGGATATAACTGTCAAACGCGCATCGACAAGCTCGGCGTCATCAGATATATTACCCGCCCACACACACACTATTTCATTAGGTAGTAGGTCACCATCACCACACACAACGACCACTACTATGAAATTCACACGTGCACCCTCGGATTGTACACGTAGCATAGAGGTAACCGAAACGGACGCCCTGGTAATGGCGGTGCAAACCAGCACCAAGGACACCGACTTCGCGGTTAAGAAACCGGTTATCCCGCTGCAGCATACAACCGACGTCGAACAACGCTACACGGACATGCTCCGACAAAATTCCGACCCCCGCGGTCGAGTTCGAATTTAGGTCAGGCTTCGTAACAGCGCCACTCAAATCACAAGCACAAGCGAAATCGGTTCAGCCGTTCTCAATTGATAAATTGTTATACATTTTTGTCTCCATTTTTATATGTATATATATAGAAGATATAGTACTCACTACAGTATATATTTGGTAATATGCAATAAATTGTTAAAAGTCATATGGCATTAATAAGTAAAAAAAAAAATAATAGAAAAAACCTTTATAAATGTATACAAAAATATATATAATAAAAATATAATATTTATAATCATATATTATATGTATATAAAATTGTTATATATATATTTCATAAATATTTTAATTAGTCATAAAAATTACATAAATTAACTTGACTTAATTTTTATAAAATTCAAAAGTAAAGCTATTTTAATAAAATGTTGCATTTTATTATATTATTTAGTATTTTAGTTTTTCAATTCGGAGATTGGTTTTTAACAAAATGTCTTACAATAAATTACTTCTCCACTTTTTTCTATCATTCGCTATATTCTTAAATTCCCTGTAGAAAGTGACTCTATTAAATTATTATTATTGTTATATTAATTTATTAATATCAGCGATATCAGCTTGTTTTTATTTTTATTATTTTCTATACAGTGGAAACGAAGATAAATAAACTATTAGATAGTTTATTTATTACATTTATTTATTATTAATTTAATATGATATGAAGAAACGGAATAATAAAATGTTACAAAACTATTTTAATCGTTTAATTGACAAAGTAAAGCTACTCCACGGTATGTCCAATGAGAGGCCTTTTTGTTAGTGTCCAGAAACATTGGAAGAACGTAATTTGTGGAATGACCAGTTGTAGACAATATACCTTTTCTCTCTGATGTCTTATACACGGGACATACATATCTATTTCTGTGCTTTAATTCATTTTTTCTTACAGGAATGAACCATACTAATGGTAACACATCTGTTAACACTTTTGAGAATGATTCTTCCAGTACCATGCTATAATGTGAAAACCTTTTATAGTAAAATGCAATATACTTACTATAAATAAGTTAGTTATATTGGTCACCACATAGTAAAACATATGTCAATATTAAAATATAGATTCTTAAATATTAGTTATTAAATAATTTTAACAAACACTTTATACCACATTTGTTTCATAAAAAAACTTTTTCCATTTTTATAAACTTAAAGTATCTAATTTGGATCCATAAAAATATTGCAATATTAAATTTAAATACTCGTAATCATGTTATTCGTCTTAAACAATAATAGGTAGTTCAAAAACTATATGAGCTTTTTACAGTATATCAGTAATTAATTGCTAATTACACATAATATCTAGGTAGATTTATTAATTATTACTAATCACTCAAAAATTGAATATATAAATATATTATTAATATCTAAACTTTATAAAATAATGTATTCACATATGAATGATAATAATCAAGATAGTCATAATTTAAAAGATTACTAAATGTATCAAGTCAATGAAACTCGTCAATCTAGAATATTATGATGTAACTAATGACTAGTGATGGGACGAACCTAATTTTTTGGTGTTGAGCTGAATATTGTC